TTGAAAACGTTGTAAAAATAAGGAATTTAGTGAGTTACCTTTATTTTTATAAACATTATTATTAAATATTCAGGTTAAATTTATGTCAAGCGGAGACAAAAACCTTAGGTGTAGAAACTTATTTTTCATAAAACCTTTATTTAGGCCTAGGATGCGCACCTCTATTATCGATTATATAAAGTCAAATCATCTAAAATTATTGACAAGATTCACGACGCGCATCTAGCTTGATTTAATTATAAAAAACATTATTGTGTCGCATCAACTTTTTTGCTATAAAGTTTAATTAAAATCAGCAGCATTCAAGACTCCGCGTTTTTAATGTCAAGGATAAACCCAGTGTCATTTCCATTTAAACAGATAAGACACCATGAACCGGGATCGCTGTATTATCCTGGACTCCAAATTACTGGAGAGATCCACTTTAATCAAGTCTGTAGCCATTAAGAGGTCTCGCAGATTCGCTCTATATTTGATGAAAAAATGTCAGTCGGAATTGCTGGTGAAGCTGCTTGAAGATATGGTGATAGGCGAAGCGGGGATATTATGCTACAATCAAATACAATACCAGGTGAAACTTGCTTCCACCTTCGGCCTGATCATCACTTACCATCAGGTGAGAGACAGGCCAAGAGCTTCCTAGTTGTGGATATAAAAAAACACTCATCCCTGGGACACTCACGTCGTGATTGCCATAAAGATATAGAGAGATGCCAACTGATGTGCTGAGTACAAAGAAATCTAAATATGTGCTCATTATCAACTGCGGTATCAGTATCCAACGTTCGAATAATCTTTAGTACTACGCAGGTAATGTAAACTGTTTACATTATGACGTTGCTGCTGTCATCATTACTTTCACGAGCAATGTGTTCTGTTTTTGGGCATATTGCTGCGACACCGGCCCCGCCCCCTTGTCACATCTCCCTTTAGTTGTGGTGATAACCCGTAGATTGTGTGTACCCAAGTAATTGCGTATACTTCGATGTTTTTTTGCTTAGTAAACAAGAACTTCGCTCTGCTATCACTCGAATGTAATCGCGATGTGTGTGGTCCAGACGTTATGATAAGCCTAATAATTTTAAACCTCCGTCTGTAGTCTAGTGGTAAGACCATTTGTCTTTGATCCATATGTTTCATGTTCGATTTCCAGCGGGGTCAACATTTTCTGTCACGTTTGATTGGAGGTAGAGTTTGTTCTAAATACGTCTGGTTAGCTGCCACCATCACATCTAAGAAGCTGAAGAAGAGAATAAAGAATCTCAAGAATGGAAGATCAAACTCAAGCGCTTTGGACAGATTGCTGTCATTTCACAGAAAAAATATAAGATATTATTACACAAGTATGTACCATCCTAGATTGCATCTACTTTCAACATGAGATGTGGCCTTAATTAATTTAGCTTAGTTGTTTTTTTAGTAAATCGTAAACAATTTTTATCACTCGCTCCGCTTATGTACAATAATAGAAACCTAAGGCACTTAAATGACATCTCTAAAATGAAAGCACCATATTTTTTTTTGGAAACGCGAACATTCTTGGGATGAAATACAATGACGTACTCATGAACATTAATATTGTTTCAGAAAATATGCGAGAGGATAATATAGCATTTTGCATTGTTCTGTTTAATAAAGAAGTGAAATGGGAGGGCTCAAAAAAAGAACTCAAATGCAGTAGAGCTTGGGTACAAATTCGAATGTATACAAAAAGTTATTGCTGTTGTAATTTGTATTGGATATCAAATAAAAACAAGAGACGTATTTCGGAAGCGTTCAAATTAGATCTTGAATTCGTGCGTGAAAACAATGACCTGGTAAGCCAAGGATGCGCGCAACGATAAACTACAATAATCGAGACATTTTATCGATTTTGTACCATAGGTCAATACATTTGTCTGAACTAAAATGATCGATATCAAGGCGCGCATTCTAGCTCGCCTGAAATTTATTTTGCAATTTGATGTATTTTTTAATCACTCAAAAACTGTTAATTTTGTAAGTGCTTAAATTCATTACGTTTCAGAAAAGATCGAACTTAATTTAACTTTTAGGGGTCCGTATTATCAATTGATATAAGAAACTTAGTCCAAATTCAACCTTAACTTTCAGTCTGAAAAGTTTTGAAGGTATAGGCATTTGAGCCCACTAATCAATTGGCCTATTTATGAGCAATCAAATCTCGATTCGATTGTAGAAATTGGTGATGGAAATTTCGACGATTTATAAATATTTAACAGTAACTGAAAAAGATTTTACTTAAAAAAAATGTATTTTATGAATTCGTACGTGATTATGAATTCGAGAGAGTCAAAAATAAGTTTTTACACATATTTTTCGTCAGGTAAACGTTTTGATAAGTCCGTTTCGGTATTTGTTCTGTAAAAACTGCAGAGTATAATGATGTTAGAACTACATCTCGCTGTTATTTTATTTAACCATTCTTCTGTGACGGTTTTTGTACCGTTTGATTTTTTCATAAAATAAATACAGAATGCTTTGTATTCACGAGCGTTCCTCGAATAAAATGATTTCATTGAATTTTTTTATTTGGGAAAGCTTTGAATGGATTTTATAGGCTTCAAATTTCAATTTGGGTGTGTTTGTACAGCATGGCTAAGTCGAATGTTGAACTCAATGCTTTTTTGCGTTTAATTAAAATATTATTATTTATTCACGATTTTGGTGACGATGTTTTCATTTACTTTGCTATCACAATTTTTTTTTTTACTTCAATGCAATCTTTTGCCGGCGCATAATATTAAGATCATACGTAAAAATCAAAAAAAGGTAATTACAAAATCAGCTTGTGTCTAGACAATTATCATTCATATTTTTTTATATGTATATTAAACAAGATTTTTAATGTAACTTTACACTTGAAACAATATTATTTAGCAAATAAGAACTTAGTATTATTTGAACTAATATCAGAAATTGTGGTATCAAGAAAATTCCTACTTATTATACTTTCCCAATCTTTATAGCATCTACCACTGTTTTAAAACTTCCCTATCACTTTAAATTACCATTATTACCAAACTTAGCCTTGCTTTCCATAAAGTAAATTAAACCAAATAAATCATCGGCCAAGTAATTTAAGCATTAAGCTGAACAAAACAGCGGTTATCAAACGGGATCTAACTTAGGCCGATCCTTTATGTCTATTCAGCTGAGACAACCATTGTATTTGGCTTGAGTTATGGCGGCTACATAATACCTACAGGTAGGTAGAAATAATAGGTATGTAAGTACCTGTGTTAGGTTTTAGATTGAAAAATAACCAACCTAGATGTTGTGGAATAAGAAGAATTTCAAGTTACATACAATATAAGTTTTACAATAATTAATTAATTATACGTATCCCTTTTGGGTAAAAGCCTCCTCCATCTTTGGCCATTTTTCTCTATCCTGCGCGACATTCATCCAGTTTTCATGTTAATAATAATTATGTAAATATTTTTATATTTTGTTTTTATTGGGAAGAGTTTTTAGTACATACTCGTTCACTTTCAAGAAGTTCTTTCCTATTTGTGTAGTGCTAGAGTTAGTACCTAGATAAAATCAGAGTGGAGTACCTACTGTATACTGTATGTGTACCTACTAAAATACGAGTGCCTACATATTCTACGACTGTGTACATACAATATTCAAGAATCGCCCCGAATCGTACGTAATTATTCCGTAATATTCAGAGTGAAAATCCTCGAGTAACATGGAAGATAAATGCAAAACACACACTAGGGCTGCCATCTGTCTAAAATATATCTGTCTTGGTTTTTAAAAGAGGGATATATGCGCGCATTATAGTCCTTCTCTGATAGAAAGGACATCACACGGGTAAAGTCGTAAACAGAAGGGCTACTTCTAAATAAATCTCTTTTTTATTTTGGTATTTTTAGAGATCTGAAAATAAGCTCATTTACTAAAATTTTAATGTCCGAAGTTTTTGAATTTTTCGTCCGGCTCGTCCGTTATTTTCATCTTAAAAAGTGACAGCCCTTCCTCATCACGCACAAAAGCATGCGCACGAATGAAGACATTTGGATGCACATCAAAGGCAGATAGCCCAGGATCGGCCAGTGGGTATGTGCAAAGCATTTCCCGACGCAAAAAAGGACCGATTATTGTGGAAATCTTTAGAAGAGGCCTTATCCAACAGTGGACGTCATTTGGCTGAAAGCATGGACAAAAGCTAGGATTTCTAAATAAATTGTTTTTTATTTTTGTTACAATATATTGAGAAGCGTTCGAAATTATGATCGTTTTTACCAAGTTTTTTAATGTCTGGAGTTTTTGACTTTTTCGTCCAGTATTTTCATCAGCCCTTCCTCATCACGCACCGCTACAAGTTGAATGGTGACAGCTCTACAGACCGAAGGCATGCGCGCGAATGAAGACACAACAAGCTGTGGTTTATTACATAACAGGAAATGATATTAATTTGTAAGTAAAGATTAATTATTATTATTATTAAACATTACCCTGTTCTCGTGGACGAGCGCCAGCACGCCGGCCTCTAAGAGAATCGCTGTCGACATGCTTAGATCATGTGACCATGCATAATCTGTGCTATAGAGATAGATAGAGAGAGAGAGAGAGCGAAACTTTGAGACCCAGGGAAAAACATAGGCTAGTTTTTAACCTGATTTTCGAAAGCGTAACACGCTTGCGATTCTTTCAGTGACAAAACAGAATTCACGCGGGCAAAGGGTTCTAAATAAATGGATTTCTAATTTTTATTTCTATTTACAGTATTTTTAGAGGCGTCCGAAAATAAGCTCCTTTCCGTTCATTCGTTTCAGTCAAATGACATCCACTGCTGGAAAGTCTTCTCCCAAGGATGATTACAACACTGCTCTTTTTAGTGCAATTTTATTGTCCGGAGTTTTTGGAATTTTCGTCCGGTTCGTCCGTTACTTTCATCTTAAAAAGTGACAGCCCTTCCCATCTCTCACCAAAGCATGCGCACGAATGAAGACGCAACATTATACTCGTACCTGTTCTCGTGACGAGTGCCAGCACGCCGGCCCCTAAGAGAATCGCTGTCGACATGCTTAGATCATGTGACCATGCATAATCTCTCTCATACTCCGCTACTCGTACGCTGCACCTGCGGACAAAAAACCACCCTGTTATTACACAGTCAAGGTAAAAATTCGAATGGAGTTAGATTAAAGAAGCCCGCCCTCATGGAAAAAATATCTCAAAGTCAATAGTGGAAAGGTTTAATGTTGTGTGGATGGTAGCACAATAGAGTTACAAGTCATGAAGGGATTTTAATGTAAGCGCTCACGAGTGGGTACTTAAGCCGAATTTGTGCTGCCATTTTAGTAAGCATTATTATGAAAGGGCAAATAACAAATTCATAATATTTAGGGTCACGTTGCTTTACTACTATTGACACACTTACAAGATGAAGTTAAACGAAATATTTGCCTTAATACGAACACAAAAGATGGAAAAGTATGCTTTTCGTAGCTTAGTTTCTTGGAATTTGGATCTAGAAAACTGAACACGCAAAATGAAAAAACATTTACAAGTTTCTATGACTAATTTAATAATGAAATTAAATGTTCGAATCAATCTGATTAACAATAAACATGTCATGAGTATGTGTTTCAGAGAGAACGTTAAGATGGCGGCATCGCATGTCAGACACCTATATTGTCATCTTACGAAGTTTGACACTATGATTGTGACCTTAGGTCTAACCGAGACCTTATGATAGAAAGAATTTATTGCCTAGAACACACGACAGAAGACAAACCCAGTCAATTACAGGTTCAACCGCCATTAAACCAAGTTAGTAGTAATTTAAAGTTAAAGTTACAAAACGCCACTTCTAACAGTAAGTTGCAGGGACCTGCAAGTCGGACAGTGGATGCCAAACTTCTCTTCGTTGGGATGGCCTTAAAACTAAAAGTTCTTTGTTGGTTTAGAACTGGACCGCTTGGTTGTTTTTTGTTACTAAAAGGTAGGGGCGGGGTGCCAAATTATAGAGGCCGTTGGTTTTGAAAGACATGACATTTTAAATTCGCACACGAAGATAAATGATAATAGTTTTTGAACGAATAATGATACATTAGGTCTATTTTATTTAGGTAAAAGGTAATTTGTGAACATAATTCTTAGTTATTAAAATTTCTTAGCGTTTAGAGCCGCTTCTCAAACTAAATTTTAAATAAAAAACTTGAATAAATTGAACTGCCTAAGGCGGGAATGGAACCCACCCATAACAGCGTATTACACTAGAAAATTTCGACGTGTCCCTCCAGTGTTGCAGTGCAGTTGGAAGAGAAGTCGCCCAGCAAGCGAAAGGTCGTGGGTTCGATTCCCGCCTTAGGCAGTTCGATTTTTTCAAGTGGTTTATTTTAAATTGTTAGTTTTCTTGTTTAGTTTCAGTTTGACTTTTGACGTTTGATAGAATAAAATAAATTACTCATTAGTCCAAAGTCATAAAATTTGTAACATAAATATTTCAGGCATACATTTATATCGGTGTAATAAGAGTATTTATAACTTCATAATCCAATTGTAGTAATTGGATCACATTATTCATTAATGAAATCCAAACAGCTGTGATATGAATTTCTACTTATTATTTTAATCCCAAATTCCAGGATTTTCAATAATGATATTCCAACAAACCTCTTCAAATTGAATGCCAATCTAGTGTTTCCCACTTCAGACAGACCTTCACAAAGCAAGCTCCTCAAAGGAATTAAATAGATCCGGTGAAAAATCCAAGCCATTCGATATCTAATTTTTCCACAACAAGAACTACTTAATCTATTTCCCTGGATAAAGACCTCGCTTGTCTGTCCCGGAGTCCCGGAGTCCCGGGTCCCGGGATCGAATCGCGAATTGAATTTACTATTCAATTGCGGTATTAAGGCTTACTGCCAATAGCAAAGGCTTTTAATCTGCTGCTAAAGTATTCTAAATTACTTAATTTGAATTATTTAATTTAGGAAAAAGTATAATTAATTATGTAGTTCAGCTTTCCTTGTATGATAACAGTGTTATTTTTTTTTCGTTTAAACTTCGTCTACGTTAACTTTTTGAATGTAAGTTTGTATGTGAAAAGTAGAGCTATAGTAATCTAATGCCCATTTTCACCATCAATCCCTAATTTTTAAGTGACCCCTATGAAAACAAAATTCCTGTTATGTGTTACCATAGGGGTCACTTAAAAATTAGGGATTGATGGTGAAAACGGGCATTACTCACTTTTCAGTTTTATGTGAAAGTAAGGTTCGCTCTTTTGGACTTCATACAAATGAACAGTGAACACCTGCCAACTGACTACAAACTTTTATTAAAATTGCAGTTGTAACACTATTTTTCTAAACTAGTTAGTAGGTACTTTAGTGCAGTTTTGGAACACTGAATAATTGAGTCCTCTGGATTCCACACTCATCTTAGCCCCATGATGCATTTATTGTATTTCAAAATCCCATCCATCAAAGAACAAAGTGCCTATCACTCGATATTTCAATGGTAAAGTGTGCGAATAACACCCTATATGTTCCGTAATATTCGAATCTCCATATAAAAGATGGCAAAAGGCGTGTAAAAGAATGCAGCAGCTGTAAAAAAGACTTTAATGCGGTCCCTCAAGGTCTATAAAGGGTGTATTTGCGTCGGGGACCGGGGCCCTTGCGACGCACTTGTTTGCCGCTCTCTTGTTCACAATTTAAGTAGCAAGATGAGACATACGAACTGTTAGGATGAAGAGTATTGATCGAAACTTTATAAGTTAGTAACGGGTCTATTCCCACCTCTCGTTCCCACCGCTGCAACTCCTGTGTAGCCTGAATCTACAGCTTGACCGCCATAAAAACCCAACCAATGAAGGCCAAGTTTGTTCCGGAGGAAAGTTAAACTGTCATTGGACCCGCAACGAAATTAATCAGAAGAACATTTAACCCTTAACTGGTATCGTAAATTGGACATACGTAACTGGTATCGTGGGGGCCGCCCGGCCCCCATACTATGTTTGCTTCCAGCAACCATGTTTTACCCATATACTTGAATAATTGTTCATAAATGGTAGCTATATATCAGGCTAGTTCTACGTAATCGTTTAGTTTTTACTTTATATTAACCTTCTTACGTGTGTACCACAAGAGATTACATAATAGTAAGAACTTTTTACGTAATATTTTTTTTACGTTACAAATAACCACATAATAATTAAAATAATAATAGTTAACCAAAAATATTATTATTTTAATTAATCCATAATATGTGAACTTCATCTATCTATGTATATCTATACTTATAATAAATCTGTAGAGAGGTCAATTCTGTACATGAAATATATTTTCAAAATAACTATCAGGGGGTGATTAGTGATCGATACTGATGCCAAAAATGCAATCAGTAAAATTTTTGTCCGTCTGTCTGTCTGTCTGTATGTTCCTTATAGAAACAAAAACTACTTGACGGATTTTAACGAAACTTGGTACAATTATTCTTCATACTCCTGGGCAGGTTATAGGATACTTAAGAATTCCCACGGGAACGGGAGTTAGCGGGAAAATCCTTTAGTATGAAAAATCTAAACCGCTTAAGTTAGACGCTTGAAATTTGGCATGTAGGTACCCATAGCTGGGCACCGTTAATCAAATAGTTAACTTCGTTAATCGTTAAACCGTTACTAAAAAACTTAACTTCGTTAAACGTTAAAACGTTACATTTCGGATCATTTAACGCAAGTTAACGTTAATCGTTAATCCGTTAACACGTGATAATAAAACAAACAAAAACAATTGTATGCAAAGTTCAAATGATTTCGAAATCTTGTATCGCGCATGGAATTTGTTCCTCTTTTATGTTTGCGCTACAGGCTTTCGAACTTATTTGAACCTTGCATAAGTACAATTTTTTTTTCGTTTTAGTACAACTGCCTTTCAGAATAAAAGCTTTTTAGTCCAGTCAATAAAGTATTATAGATGGAAATCCGTGGAACACAATTTCTGACTTCGGGACTTTATTTAGACTAGTTAGGAGGTGAACATAGCAAAAGTCCCTGCCCTTAGCCCTTGAGCCGGCGGGGTGAGGGGGGTTTAAAGGTACCACTTTTCGGTTTTTCGCTTAATCCTCGGAAACTATGCGTCCTAGTGGCATGACTACTATGAACAAAAAAAGCTTATTCAATTTGCTACAGGTGAGATAGTCAAGTTTTTCTATATCTTGTATAGTTTTTGCGGCATCTGCTCTAGAAGGTCTGTAATAATGGAAATTTTATTATTGTCTTACATGTTCCCATCAGGAGAAAATCGACTAAATCAACATTGAGCAAATATTTTAGACATGCGGAAGCATGTTAAGCCAAGTTCCAGGGAGGGGACTGCACTGTGCGTGTAGTTAGACAAATCAATTCGAGCCACTTTTGACTCCTCATCACTCAAAAACTACTGTGCATTAACACTTCAAATTTGGCTCATGTGTTGAGACTTGCAAGATAAACATGAGCTTCAAATTTTATAAATATACTTCAAACGGTTCTTTAGGTATTGACGTGATTGTTTTATTACTTAAAAGTCATGGCATCTTGAATCAATACCGAAAAAATAAAAAACATATAAAAATACCATGAAAAAAAACTAACGTAACTGGTATTGTGGGGGCCGCGCGGACCCCAACACGTGCATAACTTCGTCCTAGTGAATGATGCAGTGCTGAAACACCTGCACCAGACTTGAGTAGTGCCGTTATGAGAATACCAAAAATATTGGCTGCCCAAGATGCGTAGCTTCTTAGAAATCAAAGAAAATGTCATGCGTGGGGGCCGCGCGGCCCCCACGATACCAGTTAAGGGTTAAATCATCATTATAATTTAGTGTCAATTATATTGCAATGCTGCCTTTGAGCTACACGCACTTTAAGTGACAATAGTCCAAAGCTTTTTGTACCTATCGCACTGTCGATTCGTTATTTGTATATTATTACAAATTAGAAGAAAACATTAAAGAGAATATAATTGAATAAAAAGATTATCTACTTTAGGACATCGAATCGCCGTCAACTTTATGCACTCGTATTTGGTGATGGCAGTAAACTTTAGCCCGTATTCACAAACATTACTATAAGGTCTCCCTGTGC